ATATTTCAGCAGCACAGACTAATGGATCATTAATAGATACATGTTTTTTTCCTTTTCGTTGTAGGATGCTATTTTAGTCCCCCTTGTGAATAAGTAAAGGGTATTTTGCATTTAACAGAGTGTGCCCATCCTGTATTTACATTTAGATTTAAAAAGTTTGTTGATGTTTCTTTGTTGTAATGTTGTTATTCATATTTTAATTGAACAATAAGGCACTCGTGACTGTTATATTGTGTACAATCATTTGGACAATATACAGCCTACCTGTTTTCTTGTTTAAACAACAGTTTCTTCTGGTCCTTGGATTTGATTGGCTGGGCAATGTTACAAGAATACTGATATTTAATCCAAAAGCTGACAGTCTGTACATTAGTGGTGGAGATTTTTCAGTGATCCTTTCTGCAGTTTACATTGGTATGGCAGTAGGCATGAATTGGAATCATTGACTGATTCATAAAAATTAAAAAAAACTTCACTGCTTAAAGGCACCAATAACGATTGATACTGATTTGACTTTGTTTGGAACTATTTTCTTTGGCGAAGGAAAAATAGAACTGATACTGAAAATATTGTTTCTAAAATATAAGTCCCTCAACATCAACTTTTTGTTTATTGAAATGTTGTATAAATCTGTATAAATCAGATTTCCTTAATATTTGGAACAACAACATTCTTGCTCATTTGAAGTCGCTTAAAATACTTCAGTATAAAGTATTAGCATTTTAATTAATTCTTTTATATTAAGCAAATCCATTAATTGCCATTAGAAAAGACTAAGACGTAAACAAATGTTAAAAGTTGCTTCTGTGCCAGTGGTTATTAACCTTGTCCACAACGATAATAAAAAGGCCCCATGATTTTTTCCCAGTTGTTTGCTGTATGAGAATTAAGGATACATTTTTTTTTTCTTTTACACCTGATTAAATATTTTAGAGCATGACATAAGTATAAAAATTTGCCTATGATGTCTATGGAGTCTAATGATTTTTTCCAAGTCTAAAAATAACACTTTTAAAAATTAGGCTACCTCATATATCCAGGTTTTTCTAGACAGTATAGGAACCATAATTCTTCAAAGAAAGAAAATAAAACTGTTAAGGGGTAAATTAATAAGGTATATCTTGATATTTCATTGTTTAGCTTATTTTAATGCTGTTTTTTTCTTATTTTAAATTTTTTATGTAATCTTGAGGCCCCCTAGCGGGCCCCGGACCCCTGGTTGAGAACCACTGTTCTATAGGTGTTGCACACTGATATTCAGAGTGACTCAAGTGATCAGTTTTTTTTTAGCTCTGTATATGAACTTTTCACTTTTTAGCATTTCACATGTTTATGTTTACAGTCATCATTTAGCGCTTTAAATTTATAGGCTAAAACAACAATATGTCATTATCTCTCTCCGTTTTCCCTTTATTGCAGAGGTTTCATTGTAACATCAAGTGGACATTTTAGGGGAGACGCTGATTAAGTTTATTCACTGTTGCAATTACTGTCATATCCCTGTTAATTAATGGCAGAGTTTTACTGTGTCTTGCTTCCTTATGGAGCCTGAGGTGATGAGACAAGCAACATGATTTCATCTGTGCACCTGGGAAGAGAATTTCAGTGCTAACTTTGACTAAAATGCACAGACAGTACACCTTGGATATGTTTTTATGACTGCAAAGGAACACTGGATGACAAAAGTGTGTCTGTGAGATAGATGTTGTGCCTCTCTGTGGTGTGAAGTGTCTCCTCTCATTGGAATGAATGTCTGTGTGTGCATTAACGATACTCCAACCCCCTCCAAAGCCTCCATCTCAACTGTGGAACACACATAGCTGACTCGACAGGCCCAACAACAGGCAATATCCCCTGCTTTCAAGCCTTTGCTCCCGCCAGCTCTGGATGGATTTGGTTAGTAAATCGTGACAGGGGGTCGGCCATGCCTGAGAGGAGAGGGGAATGAGGAAACAAGTGTTTGCTCCATATAGCCCAAGAGATGCAAGAAACAGCCTCTGTGATGTCCTGTCACCTGAAAGGCATATGAAAACAGGCACACACATCTGTTATCCAAATGTTAACTCCGGGCGCCCCGTGTTGTCACGGCAGAGTGGGAACGGGGTTGTGGCTGGCCAAAGACCCTCCTCAGGGGAGGCTTAGGTGCTCAGTAGTGGGAAATAGTACAATAGTGGTGGGAAAAAGCAAAACAAAAAACAGTAATTTAAAAGGATACTTCACTCCGAAATAAAAAGTGTCATTGCAAACCTGTATGACTTTCTCCTCTGTCTTCTGAGGAACATAGAAGAAGATATTTAGAAAAATGTCTCAGTGGTTTTGTCTATACATGTGAGCGAAATAAAAGCTCTATGGTTTAATGTTTGAAAGTAAGAAATTAAGTCAGCTATAAATATTAGTGTTGTCATTTTACTTCTGTTTTGTAAAAAAGTTATTAAACTAATATAATACAAAAGTATTATTATTATTATTATTATTATTATTAAATAAGTTTTTCATTTTACATTACAATAATATTATTACTATAGTAATATATTTCTTTATTGATTTGGTAATTTTTGTAATTTAATAAACTCTGCTTAAATCTGTTATCTATATACAGGGTCCAGGGTGGGTTTTTATCATAAATCCTCAATCCAAATTTTAAAGCTGATAATTCATACATACATACATACATACTGTACAAATCATAAATCAAATTCCAGCTTTAAAATGCGCATACTCCCAGAGCAGTTTACATATTTTTCACTATTTTCATCCCTGATGAAAGTCTTTGACATTCACTGTATGGACAAACACACAGTTGAAACTTTTTTCTTCGGAATATAATAGCGTGTTTTCAGCAGAAGAAAATCATACAAGAAAAAAGTCATACAAATGGAGTAAATGATGACAGAATTTTCATTTTCAGGTGAGCTATCCCTTTTAAGAAATAAGCTTGGTCCAGGAAAACTACACACAATAGTATTTACATGTATGAGCAGATATATTTAACCACACTGCTATAACATCAGGATTTAATTTCATGTGCCTGTTTGAATAATTCCCAGCATTCTAGAGTTCTAGAAGGGGAATAAATCAAACAGCAGAGCACCTGGTGCAAGACGCCCAACCCTGCTGCCACCTGAGCTCACGCCAAACACATTGCTTGTCTGTCAGTGTAAATTTACATGTGAAAGTACATGTATAATCCATCAACGGTCACATGGGAACACACTAAACACCTGTTGTGAGCTTTGGCACACCAGTCAAGTTACAGTAAAATAGTTAAAAGCTTAGCTCTAGTAATCTACTGACATCTATCTGTCTATCTATCTATCTATCTATCTATATAATCTGTCTGTCTGTCTATCTGTCTGTCGATCCGTCCGTCTGTCTGTCTGTCTATCTCTTTTTCAAACACTTTTAAACTAGGCTTTGTCAAGCCAACACACTTTACTAGTTAAACCTTACAGATGAATTTCTTAGGATTTAAATTATTTTAATTTTATTTCCTTACATTCACATTAAAATTGCAATTTTGCATTTTTTTTCTTTTAGAAGACTTTCCTTGACTTGGTATAATATGTGTAAATGCAGTTAATGTCTGTCCATTTCCATCTGAAGGAAATAATGAACTGCATGGCCTAATTTAGCTTGGGCTTCCCCAAGAGATGGTCTTAGAAACTAAAAGAATGGCATTAAGGATAAAACGGAATAAACACTGAACTGATTGTTGATAGTCCATTCAGCATTGATGGCTGCACTTTCACCATTACAGCCTGCAGCAAAAACCTTATGTCATATCCTATCTTGTCAAAATGCATATCAAAAAGAGAGAGAAGAGAGAAAACTTTATTCAATCCAAATTGCCTGCAGAACGAAGCCTCTCACAGAACTCCGCTTCTTTCATCTGTGGAATTCGCTCGCTGGTGCAGATTAGATTTTAAGGCATCTGCCAGAATCAATGCCTCTATTGGCAGCTGTGCTATAACGGAGCGATGAGGTCTGGTATGGTGCTGTAGCCGCTGCTGGGATACAGCATTCCCCCCCTGGAGAGCATGGCTCATTAATCAAATATTCATACACGCAGCATCGTAAATACAGCTAGAACACAAAGTCTCCTCAAAGCCGCCATGCCTCCCAGCACAAGTGCCCTTTCATGTAACACTGACGGAAAAGCCCGCATGTTGCCTCACCCCTAATGTCCCAAACTTCCTTTTTTCCTCTCTCTCCTCCATGCCTTGTTTCCTAAATACAGCCCAGTATGAATGTACTGATCACAGACACTGGAAAACACTGAGACGATGGGGTTATTGTGCTCCACTGCTTCTGTCTTCACGAAATGCAGTGGCGAGACAAGCAGTGACTTATTCTGTTTGGTCCCACAGAAGGGTAACTTGTTCCCCCAACCAGACCCTATAATTGAAGGCCATGACCTTATTAATATAAGAATTTGTATTTATCATGAAAATAGCACAAGCATTGCTCAAATAGAACAGAAACAGAGGAATTAACCATGGCAACATTGAGTCCAACACAAGGATATTTTCTTTCCCCCGGAAAATGGCATAATCACCAGATACAGATTTGTTCCTTTTGGTTGAATGGGTTATGAAAGGGAGTTAGCAAGTGTGAGTCATTTTCATTTGCAGTGTTTGTTGGGGAAGATGAGTTAAAAGATTGAAAATAGGTCAATAACAAATTTGCTGTACAGTAAGGAATGTAAGAGGAAGAACTTAAGTAATTACAGACAAATAAGTAGAAACACATTTTTTTTTAAAAACCATATTAGATTTATTGTACAATTCTGAAATCAGCAGTTATAAAACTGAAATGTTCATTGTGCAAATTATTTTGGCAATTAAAGTATGATATAGCAATACACTGTGGTAAATTACAAAACCCTTCAAATTGACAAATGGTGGAATTAATAGGTTTGCATAAATAACAGAAAACACAGTTACGCTAGTTAAATACAATATGTGAACACTGGTGTTAGAGCTAGTGTTACAGTTCTGTTCAATGCAGAGTGCTTTGGTTCAAAGGTGTTTGTAACAAAAATTAAAGTTAATCACAACAAATGATATGTCAGTACAATTTCGTCAAGCTGAAAAGTTAGTTAAAATGATATGCAACCATGAAAAAAAAAACTGAAGTTATATAAATAAGGCATAATTTAATAATAAATTACTCCTTGATTCATGCTGGTTTATGTTTCCCATTACACCTTAAAAAAATAACACACTGAGCTATCAAAGACTAATGAGATCTTTGCAGCTCTTAAATGATCCTTTCACATATTGGGATAATACCACTGTTTTGTTGTTAAAATTTAAATCTTATATTAAGCACAGTTTCTGTGCATATCAATGCGCTATGGATTTAATATTTCTTAAAAAGCAGGTGGCAGAGAGGGCTTTTCAACATGGCTACCACTGCCAAACATCATTTAAGAGTTATTTAGGCTCTGTATTTAGTTATATGTGATACAGTGATTTCTACTCACTCGTGAAGGCACATTATCCTTCCAGTTAAGAAAACATAAAACATGTCAACATAAAATATAAGTTCTATGACGTTATATCACTATATCATGTATAAATTTCAAAAAGTAGACTAGATAGGCGTTTTGATTTGTTGTTAAAAAAATAAATAAACTACATGTACCCAGAGAAAAGAAACATGAAGTTTTTCTTGTTAAAAAAAAACGTGTTTAGATTGTAAATATAATTGTAATCAAATCAAATGTGGTCCATGTGCACTCCAGACTATGACTATACCATCTCTTTATCAAACTTTGCTTTCATGCACATGCTGACAGATGTGTTGATTTCAGTACGAGTTCAGTGAAATGGTCAACTCATGCACTGCTTGCGGTCTTTTTAAATGGGCTTTTTCTGAAATGGCATGAGGATCGTGTAGCAAAGAATCCTATAGTTTAGACCCACAGCGTAAATACAGACTGATCCAGTCTTGATTTGTGGTGTATCACTTGGTTTTGGATTACTGGTTTGAAGTGTCAGAGCAGCACAAAGTCCCCTGATGTTGTCCCTGCTGTCCTTGTGTCCCTGATGAAAGGCCATTCTTGCTTTTCTACAGCAATTGTGACGTTATATCACTATATCATGTAAAAATTTCAAAAAGTAGACTAGAAAGGCGTTTTGATTTTTTGTTAAAAAAAAAAAAAAACTACATGTACCCAGAGAAAAGAAACATGAAGTTTTTCTTGTTAAAAAAAACGTGTTTAGATTGTAAATATAATTGTAATCAAATCAAATGTGGTCCATGTGCACTCCAGACTATGACTATACCATCTCTTTATCAAACTTTGCTTTCATGCACATACTGACAGATGTGTTGATTTCAGTACGAGTTCAGTGAAATGGTCAACTCATGCACTGCTTGCGGTCTTTTTAAATGGGCTTTTTCTGAAATGGCATGAGGACCGTGTAGCAAAGAATCCTATAGTTTAGACCCACAGCGTAAATACAGACTGATCCAGTCTTGATTTGTGGTGTATCACTTGGTTTTGGATTACTGGTTTGAAGTGTCAGAGCAGCACAAAGTCCCCTGATGTTGTCCCTGCTGTCCTTGTGTCCCTGATGAAAGGCCATTCTTGCTTTTCTACAGCAATTGAAAGTTCATAATCCTTCACGTGTCCCTTCAAAAAGGTGAATGCAGGGTACTTCTCTTTCGATGAAGGCTGCAATATCTGTCACATTAACAAACACAGTTTATCAACCTTTAGTATATATTTATTTAAATTAAAAGGTAGATATAGCAGATTCTTACTTATAATAAAGAAGGACAAAATAATACACAATATTATCCCCTCACAGTAGTCTATGCTGGACGCATTGACAGTAGTCTGACAGTTTCCAATTACGTAGTTGAATGCTGCCACCTGCTGACAGACATTTAAATAACAGCCTTTTTTGCAGCTTAAAATGCCAATATTTTTCTGTTAAGATTTCTTGGACAGTTTGTCATTTTAAGCACACCAATGAGATTAAAAATGAAAGATATCATGCCTTTTTTTTTTACATCAAAACAATATAAAACAACATTTTTGAAATGTGTCCATTAAAAAATATGTTTTTGAAAGATTTACCCACCTTTGACAGCTCAGTGCTAATTCTTTTATAGTGTTCAACATTTTTTGAGTAGAATCCAATTGTACAGCTTGGGTCCATTTTACTGAAAGGCATTTTCTTTGGTGATGGGCAATGAAATGACTTTAAAGGAGAAAAAGAATTGAAATATCCTTTAAAATTAGTCAATAGAAGCCATTTGTTTCTCTGTTTATGTAATCACAGTGATGCAAATGTACAACTACAGCATTAGACATTTTCGCCCATAATATCTGTCAACAGTGTAACGTGTGTTAAACTGGTCAGCCAGCTCTGTTCCAAATGAGCAATGCGTGTTCAGATTGCAGAAATAAAAGATTTGACTTTTTGACACATTTTTTGACAAATGTTACATTCTGCCTGAGATCTGAAAGGCTTAGACAGCTGAGCTAAAAGTATGGCCCAATATTTCTGTCTTTTGCCAGGCCACTTTCTACAGCACACAAAAAGCGTAAAAATAAGTTATGATGCTGAAATATAAAATTGTTGGAGCTATATAAAATAAGTTGGAGCTGATACAAAGTACAGAACAATGTGTAAATCTCTTGTGTTCGGTAATTGAGTGTGGAGGTCTACTTTCAGATTCATACCCTAAAGTACAGAAACTATTAAATTCACATCACTGTGCGGCGGTCAGCTTTTTGTAATTCCACATTACCTGCAGAGGGAAATCGCTTGTGCTGACATCCACAAAAGACTGACAGTAATGAGGATCCATGTAAATCAAGCTGTCATCTGCAAGGACAAAACAAAAGACAAGTTATTCAAAAAACACAGTGATTATTATAATGCATATCCTTACCCAATTTCTATGCAGAGCAGCTCAAAGTCACCCACCTCCGCAGGGTTTCAAATAATCAAACGCAATCATTTTTTTGGGTCTTTCCTAAACTCGGATGGATTAAACGCTGCATAATCGAATCTGGTTGTACAAGCACATTCTTTATGCCGCAAAGGGGGCTGTCATTTAATTTTGGTGTAGAGAAATTACCTTTACAAACACACAATTATATTAGATCATTTGCATATGATGAATGCAGACGGCAGGCTGAACCTGGCAGGGAGAATGTATTACTTGTCATTTAGACATCATCGCGGAGTGTATTTCAAATTGCTAAAATGTAAATGGGTAAATATTGACTACCTACATGTACAACTGAAGGTTTCCACTGGCTACTGAAGGTGATGGAGAGTGGGCTACTCTGGGTAGCTCTGAAATCTATGCAAGCTGCTTATGTAAATGGAAAAAAGCGCTATTTCTGATACCCTAGCATGATGAATGGTGTAGCATTTCTGATGGGGTCGGGAAATATAAAATAAGCTTCTCTGATGGCACTGACCTTCTCTTTGCGTGCATTCATTTACTTTGTCTCCTATAAAAGACTAACCTTGAAATCCAACAAAATAGTAGGCCTGTTTAGGCTTTCCGCCAATGATGCCGATACAGTACTCTAAGCTTAATATGCTCTAGGGAAAAGAGAAAGAGAGTCGATAAGACCACAGTATTGAAGTCGATAGCCACATCTTTAACAAATATTTCTCTCTTTGTCATTGTATAATCTACTTTGTAGTTGTGATGGGTGGCTTCCAAAGCCTCACCTTGACAAAGCTTAAGTATTGTGGGTTGATCTTCTCTCCACCGAGTCTCACGGGAATGAGTATGATCACAGCTCTACTATCAGAGGCAGCTTCAGAATTGAGTCCCTGAGGATCACAGTGGCTGCCCGTCCGCCCTGAATGGCTATCAGTAACATCAGCACTGTACACTGAAGACAATCAATAACACAGAGGTCAAAACAGGTCCTTTCTCTGTCAAGTGGGACAAATTCAGCTGTTACTAAATCTAACTGTACTTGTGTCAATTGATGATTCATCTACAACAGTATGATGTTTGTAAGTTAGCTTATAAATATTACAATTGGGAGTGTTTGTTCATATTGGGATTGAAAAACAAAACTGTATACAGTATATACTTCCATTCAAAAGTTTAGGGTAAGATTTTTTTTTAATGTTTTAGTAAGAAATCTCTTATGCTTTATTTGATTAAAAATACAATAAAAACAGTAATATTGTAAAGTCATATATTTTTTATCTAATTGTATAACATTTACAATGTAATGTACCCCTGTGATGGCAAAGCTGAATTTTCAGCAGCCATGAATCCAGACTTCAGTGTCACATAATCCTTCAGAAATCATTCCAATATGCTGATTTGCTGTACAAGAAACCTTTTTTTTAATTTATGTATTTATTTATTTTTTTATCAAAGTTGAAAATGGTTGTGCTGCTCAACAATTTTTGTGAAAACCACAATACTTTTTTTTTCAGGACTCTTTGGTGAATATGAAGTTCAAAAGAACAGCATTTATTTGGAATATAATGTTACTACTCTTTGCTGAATAAAAGTAGTAATTTCCTACATTAAAAAAAAAAAAAACACAACAACAATACACACAGTGTGGTACAAAATTATGCTTAATGTAAAATTTAAATGAAACTCATTAAATAAAATTTACAAGTGGTTTCAGATTTGTGGACCCAAAATAATCATGTATGGTAAAGACTAGATTTATGCTGTATAAAGAATTTCTACAGAAGTGCAAAATTGCATTCAAATAAAAAATTTGTTTGAATTTTAGTAAATATTGGAATTTTTTTGTAAATCATGTTTGACCTTCTATTGTTCTGTGAAAGATTTTGGATTTAGATTTTCCATACCGGTGCAGTCCTGTGCTACATAAACGCTTATCCCTTTCAGCATTGCATCTACTGCTTCATCAACAGCTTTTCTGAGAGAAAGCGAAGAGTGACAGGGTAAGAGAGATATTTGACAATCATCATAATGAGGAATGGGTAACATAAAGGACTTAAAAACTAAAAAAATATATACAAGAATATACATACAAGTACATATACACACGTATAGATACACAAGTATCTATAATGCACTCTTACCGGAGTATGTGTGCCACCACTGCTGGGCCGTACCAATCTCCTGCATGTTTTCCGGATGTCATTCCTAGCTTCACTAGACTGTGGATGCCAAGCTGGGCTGAGGGTCTGTCCCCAAACCAGGACACAATGGTGCGGTGATATGCCTCTTGCAGGTACGAGTCAGCCTCCTCAGCCCCTCCTTGAGCAGCACAGAGAGGCTGCTGGGTGACCTGCGCTCTTTCCCCCTGAATGGAGGCCTCTACTGTGGCCATCAGTCTTCGTGCTGCACTGCTGGTCCATGTCTCTGTATCCAGGGGCTCCAAGGTCAGTGCTTCTGACCAGGTCCAGTCTGGTGAAAGAGATCAAAAAAATAAATAAAGTGTATTTAAAAGGATCATGTGACATTGAAGACTGGAGAAATGGCTGCAGAAAATTCAGCTTTGCCATCACAGGAATAAATTACATTTTAAAATGAAAACAGAAAACTAAGAATTTTCAATTCTAATAATGTTCCATTTTATTGTTTTACTGTATTCTTCATCAAATAAATGGAGCCTTGGTGAGCATAAAAGATGTATTTAAAAAAAAAAAAAAACTTTCTGACCAGTAGTCTAATTATAATCTTTATTTTGTTAATTACCTCATAAATTATATCCACTAAGAAACAATGGAGCAGAAGTCTTTCAGAAGTCCTAAAAGTTTGTCCTAGATTTCTCTGAGTGACAGAGATATTTACATTTAAATAGACACTGGAGCTTGTGCTTTAAGAACAAAAGTCCAATTACGATATTCAGCGTAGTCGATATTTCATTTTTATAACATTTTATCCTCACAAACAGAGTGGGTGTCTGAAATAGTGTAAGTACAAGTGCTGAGGGTCATAAAGGTGCCGGACCTGGCTGTGGGGCCATTAGGCAATGACCTTGCTACTTGTCAAGGCCTGTAATTGGCTAATAAGTATATTTTATTAGCCATTAGCCGCTTTATAGACAGATATTTCTATAATGACATATTTCATTATAGATGTAGGCTCTGGATGATGCTTCAATGTTGTTTTTTGAATGAAGGTATTAAACTGGCAAATGTCGTGGCCTGTTCACCATATTACACAAAACTGCCCTCCGTCAATCATATGAGAACTCATTCATTAGAGAGTGACAACCTCTAACACTGAAATACCCAACCTCTGAAATGAAACATTTATACAGAATTTCACTATGCAAATGAAGCGCTAAAAACTTTGGCTACTTACATTTAAGCAACACACAACTCAGAACTGTTTTTGCAGCTCATATGTAAACCGTCACTTTATTAAAAAAAATTATAATCGTAAATTGTTCTCCCAAAAATAAAAATGTGAAAAATGAAGTAATCCAACCGACACTAGTGCATCCAATCTAACACTTTGTAAAGCGAAAAAAGCTGCATGTTTGTAACAATAATAAATTCATCATTAAGACATTTTTAACTTTCGGCCAAAATTTGAGTCCTCTATCCATAATATTGCTTTCTCCAGTGGAAAAAGTAGTCTCGTCTGAATTAGGAGAGAAATATGCACAGATCAAGCACGGTTTACAAATGAACAGTTCTAAACAAAATATCAATATGTTGGTGGATTTTGTTGTGAGAGGACAACAGGGGATGGACTTTTTCACTGGAGGAAACATTATTAAGGACTCTAAAGGCCGTAATGATGGATTTGTTTCTTACAAACACACAGCTTTTCACTTCACAAGATGTTAACTGATGGACTGGAATCACGCTCTTATCAGCTGTTTGGACTCTTTCTGACAGCACCTATTCACTGCAGAAGATGCACTGATGTAATGATACATTTCTCCAAATCTGTTCTAATGAAGAAACAAACTCATCTAGGTTTTGGATGGCCTGTGGGTGAATACGTTTTCAGCAAATTTTCATTTTTCGGTGAACAATACCTTTAAAAATAAGAATCTATAAAATGTTAACTCTTAATGTCACATATAAATACATACATACATACACACAAATATATATATATATATATATATATATATATATATATATATATCACCCAATCTCACCTCTACCCAAGATGTGGAGCAAGAGAGCCTGGGCCAATATCATCTGCCCTGCCCGGAGTGTACAACCCCACCCACAGTCTGAAGTGAGAGTGGAGCCTGGAAGGTCAGGAAACTCTTCCCGATAGGTCAGCCAAACTCGTGAGGTGAAGTCCTTTCGAAATCCATCAACATTACCTGTGACAACATCGTCATCTAATGCCTCAGCAGTACAACTCTCAGTAGGGCTCTCAACATCTGAGGACAACAGTTAGCATAAACATGATACACCTGGAATATCGGTGGGGGAAAAATTAATTTAAAATGGCAGATATATTATACATTAATTAAAAATACACAAATAAAAACTTTGTGAAGGATGACAGATTATCAAATTGGTTTAAATGTTCATCTAAATCATCTTACCCACAGCCTTGAAGTGGTAGCACTTCCCCAACAAGAAAACAGGAGAATTACGGCTGAAGGCAGTTTTTGACTTAAGAACCCAACCTTGAAGGGTTTTAAAAAACTGTCATGATTAGTCACGTGTACAGGTATGTCATCATTTTGTGACTTGTGAAAGACTGTCAGATGAACGGAAATTTAACATTTTAGTGATGTGTAAGATCTCTCGTTACATACTATATTTCACATTGTGCCATGCTGACATTAACTTGGACTTCAGTTTCTCCACCTCGTCGGTCCCATTAGTCTCCATTCTATCAGCCACGGAGCAGAACCCATCACAGCACATACGATGGAGTTTCTGAGAGAAGTTTTCAATACGACCAAAACAAGTTAACGTACATCGTATTTGGAAACATGTCATTGATTTTACTTAGATGACATTTCCACCACAAGCACAAGAATGCGATACCGTTGCATATGAAATAATCATCAAATCACTGGCCAGAATACGAATTCATTAACATACATCTCAAGATACTGGCTGACTAGCATGCTAATTAATCGGTAAGCTTGTACAGTTTACAAAACTGCCGACAATAAGCGTAAATGCAAACAAGTGGCGAATGTTTTGTGAAAACAAGTAATTCAATAATTAAATATATAATTTAAAACATACCTGCTCATATGTATTGTTATACTTAAGAACTCACTGTGCATTTACTCACTTCTGTTTACATTTTGAGGAAGCGGCCTCTCTTCTTCTTATTCGTTTTTTATTGGCGCAATCACCAATTGAGCATTACCGCCATCTACTGAAGCAATGGATCAGAGACTTGAATCAGAGACCCTTCTCCCAGACCTATCAGAACTCAAGCTTTCGATGTTGCTGCGTGTTCAGCTCCTCCATCTACAGCCGAAGTCCCTCTCAGCCCAGAGAATAGGAATAACAATAATATAATTTAGAAATGGTATTAACAGACTATCACCTCCTACTGGATTCAAAATCTCTTTTAACGTTCCTTGGTGCTCACTGTTTTTTTTAAGTTCATCGATTAACTTACTTCTCTCCTCCGTATATCCATTACACTGAATAATTACATGTTCTACAGTTTCTCTAACTCCACACCAATCACACAGTCCTGTTGGATGTTTCCCTATTATGTGCAATGTTGAATTCAGCCCTGTATGTCCCAACCTTATAGTCTTGAAAGAACACAATCTTCCTTTCTTCTCCCTCTTGAATTCCTTCCTCTACCTACCATTGGTTGTACTGAATGTAGATGTCTGCCTTTTAACTCTTTATCCCAAAACAATTGCCAATTTGTATTTATCCCCTTTTTAATTATTGACTTAAGTTCACCTTTACTATACAGAATTTGCATATCTATATTTTCCTTTGTCATTACTTGTTTAGCTAATTGGTCTGCTTCCTCATTCCCTGCCACTCCTGTATGTGCCACAAGAATTGAACCATTCTATTTATCTGCTGCAACGTATATAATAACTGAAGGATCTCCAAAACAGTATCTTGTCTAGTTTCAGACTGTTGAGCTTCCAGGCATAATAAAGCCGAACTTGAATCTGAACATACTAATGTTTTATTTATCCCCATTTCATATATTTTATTCATTGCTATCAAAATTGCTAGCAACTCTCCTGTAAATACTGACACATGATTTGATATTCTTTTCCCTCCTGACACTTTCAACCTTGGAATATCATACGCTACTCCCACCTGACCATTCTGTGGATTCTTACATGCATCTGTAAAAACTTGAACATACTGTTCATAATTATTCCCAATATATTGTTTTGTCAATTCTGCCTCTAGTAACTCCTGCTCTTTATCTTGTCTTGCTTCCAATAAGAACGAATCAATTTTTGGTTGCGGTAAAATCCATAAAGGTATCGTTGGTAAAATTACCGTTGGAATAACTCTGTACTCATTTAGTTCCATCTCCCGCACTAAATCTTCAATGATCCAACCAAAACTATTAACTTTCCTTTTTCCATGCTCCCAACAAGTCTCAAGTAATCCTTTTATTGGATGATTATCCTGTTGACCTTTTAAGCTTGCCCAATAAGTCAAAATCAATTGTTTCCTTCTTAGATGAACCGGCATTTCCCCCATCTCCACTTGTAATGCTGGAACTGGGGAGGAAGGATAAGCTCCACAACAAATTCTCAAAGCTTGTGATTGTATTCTTTCTCATTTGTCTTACTGCGACTTAGCAGCTGAACCATATACCATACATCCATAGTCTAATATTGCTCTAATCATCGTTGAATAAATGGTTTTTAATGCCAATCTGTCAGCTCCCCACTCACGTCCAGAAATACACCTCATTACATTCAAAACCTTTTTACATTTTCCCTCCATCTTGCTTATGTGATTATTCCATGTAACCTTTGCATCAAACCACATACCTAAAAATCTTATCACTTTAACTTGTTGTAACTCTTATATAATTTCAACTTTAAATCTATACTTCTCCTTTTATTTGTAAAGAAAATATATGTAGTTTTATCTACAGAAAATGTAAAACCCCATTTATAAGACCATTTTTCAACATTTATTCAAACTGTTTGCATTTTATTAACAATATACTCAACATTCCTACCTCTAAGCCACAAAGCTCCATCATCTGCAAACAAAGATTTATTTATATTTTCCCCAATTGTTGCAAAAACATCATTAATCATAATTATAAATAACAAAGGACTTATGACACTTCCTTGCGGAGTGCCATTCTCAATACTTCCCTCCCTTGAAATATAATCTCCAACCTTTACTTTAATATTTCTTTCAGTTAAAAACTCTTTAATCCAATTATATATTCTTCCACCTATTCTTCTCAATACTTCCCTCCCTTGAAATATAATCTCCAACCTTTACTTTAATATTTCTTTCAGTTAAAAACTCTTTAATCCAATTATATATTCTTCCACCTATTCATATTTGATCTAATTTAATTAGCAAACCCTCTTTCCATAACATATCATAAGCTTTCTCAACATCAAAGAAAACTGCTATTATTGTTTCTTTATTGATGAAAGCTTTCCTAATAGGCTATCTGATTCTAATTTGATAATTGAATCAATTGTTCCTCTTTCAAGTCTAAAACCACTTTGATATGGAGAAAAAGTTATTCTTCTCCATATTATACATTAACCGGTCAGTAATCATTTTTTCCATTAATTTACATAAATGTGAAGTTAATGCTATTGGTCTATAGTTTAGAGGGTTACTTGGATCTTTACCCGGTTTCTTAATAGGGATAATTAACGCTTCTTTCCAACCCTGGGGTAAAACCCCTTCCTCCCATACCCTGTTATAAAATTCCAGAATTATACTCAATGAATCATCACTTAACTTTTTTAACATAACATAGCTAATTTCGTCTGAAGCCTTAGGCTGTGTCCGAAATCGCCCCCTATACCCTTAAATAGGGTCAGGTTATCTGAGCTATTAACTTTTGAAAATTCTTTCCTGAACATTTCTCCTTTGTCTTTATCACATACTGCGATTTCTTCCCCAATATTTAACACTTGATAATCGAAGCGGCCTCTCGTTCGGTCTCGCGGTATTTCAGATATTCTCCCGTCTGGCGCGTTCTAGTGATAGGATGTCTGGTTCTTTAGAACTGTTCGTTCCAAGGAACTGGTAAAAAAAATATATATATAACAATAATAAAGGTTTTACAATAAAGGATGGTTGTGATTTGTGTGGCTCCTTTTAAAATCAATTATCTCTCGACTGGAAAGTTTTTGTTATGTTATAATAAAATATTTATCATGAGCAACTATGTGTATAGAATCAAACTGTCATACATTCAAGTCGCAAGAAAGAATAGTTTTAGTGTGTTTTATTTGTAAGACGTTTGTTATTTGTCTTTTATGAGTTTGACATCGTTCAGGGTTTTGTCACATACTGCGATTTCTTCCCCAATATTTAACACTTGATAATCGAAGCGGCCTCTCGTTCGGTCTCGCGGTATTTCAGATATTCTCCCGTCTGGCGCGTTCTAGTGATAGGATGTCTGGTTCTTTAGAACTGTTCGTTCCAAGGAACTGGTAAAAAAAATATATATATAACAATAATAAAGGTTTTACAATAAAGGATGGTTGTGATTTGTGTGGCTCCTTTTAAAATCAATTATCTCTCGACTGGAAAGTTTTTGTTATGTTATAATAAAATATTTATCATGAGCAACTATGTGTATAGAATCAAACTGTCATACATTCAAGTCGCAAGAAAGAATAGTTTTAGTGTGTTTTATTTGTAAGACGTTTGTTATTTGTCTTTTATGAGTTTGACATCGTTCAGGGTTTTGTGAACCGGTTCACAAAAATAGTTCTCGAAAGATTGATGCTTTTTAAATATCTTTATAAGTACTAGACATAATTATCAAATGAAATAAGCAAGGACATTTGTCTAGTATTTAAGCTTTTCTGTACTTCATTTAGCTTTTTACGGAGCATATTATTCATAATTAGAAGTGTCGAAATTAAACACCCACTACTACAACCCACGATATGTTTATACACCAATAAAGCTGTCATTGTCTACAGATTACACGATTAGTGGAAGAGGTAACGGATGCACTTCACACTTTTCGCTACACAGATAGCTTCCTGTAAAAGAGCCCTCTATTGTACGCACAGGATATGAATCACCGTTAAGACTGAAAGATGGTATGCGTTTATTTTTTCAGCTTTACGGTACGTTGTCCTCTCTTGTTCGTCTGGAGCGCGTTTTTTCCCAGCCGTATTCCGACAAGTCCCGCCCCTGACCAGCTCTCTGTTTATTATGGTTACTACGGCTTTATGAGTGACTTCTCAACTGTCCAATCACAGACTTATTTTAGGCGTCGGGAGGTGGGGCTTGTCGAAATACGGGAACGGGTGGGGAAGGAGTATCGCGGCTGGAGCGCTGGAGTTACTCGAGCACTCAGCGGCTACAGTCATGGCTGAGCGCCGCGCCTTTGCCCAGAAAATCAGCAGGTAAGGATATCTAACGCACTTCCAAGCTATTGCGTTTAAATAAATTCTCCCAGCGCCGTGCGACCATTCTTTGTCTGCTGCCTGATCCAATTGGCGAGCGTGCCAGTCTTTCCCAAATAAGGCCTAGGCGTTGAGGTAGCTAGAGCAGACGCTGAGTTTAGAGGCGGTGTCTCAAAACCTTGGAGAGCTGCCTACCCAGACTGCACGGTTGGGTCTAATAGGCGCGTTTGGAGTGCCGTCTAGGTAGGCAACTTACTAGGTTTTGAGATGCATCCATAGAGATGCCCGAGTGACCCACCCTAAGCTGCAAGACAGCAGTATGATGCCTTTGTGCTTCTGTGCATTAAAATCAGTCTTTATCCCTGGGTTTATAATCCATAAATGCATATTTTGTTAAATCCATTTTAGGATTTAACGATGCAGACT